CAAGATGTTTGTTCAAGGTCTCTCTGAACGTGCTGTGACAGAGAGCAGGGGACTTGGCAGAACCCAGGTTCACACAGTAGAGGCATCTTTTGTCCATTCCCTGCAAGGTAAATTGCTTCTGATGACTTCTCTGAAGACATGGGGGGACCAAGCATTGTCCAGGTCAACGGCTGCACATCAGATTCCAGGGAATTCGCTGCAGGAACACAATCCCAGCCAGGACCTCGGCCGAAATTGTCATCACGACTTGATTAACATTGTGATGCTCTCTGTGGTCGGCTTGACAGAGGTCTGACTGTGGCCCAAATCCCCGAATCCTGCCTGTGGCCTGTTTTCGCACAACTTGCAAGCTAAAAATGGTTTCTAGGTTTCTTAAGGGTCACAAAAATAAAACAAAGGAGAATATGTGACAGAGACCAACTGTGTTTACTAAGCCTAGAGTGGTTACTCCCTGGCCCTTCGCAGAGGAGGTGCGCTCTGTAGCCATTCCCATAATGCACCTGGCTGGGGCACCGGCCAAACATGTGAACTCCAGGGGCGTGTGGAGGGCGACTCCTGAATTTCTCAAGCCCTTGACTGTGGCAGTGGTTTCTGTAACTCCTTCCTGGACCATGATGATGGTTTTGCCTCACTCTCTTGGTGAGAGACACTTGCACCATGACAGCCCTCTCCAAAACTCAGAGAAGCGATGTAGCTACTAAGAGCATCTTTTCAGGCCCTAAGGAGAGTCCCAAGGGATGCGTGTGTCACCTCACTGGACCCACAATGAGATGGGCTTGGGCCAAGGCTCCAACCAGCACCTGAAATCCACAGGCTCCGTCTTTGGTGGACCACCCGGGGTTTGGGTCTCTGAGGATTAAGGCCAGTTCAGAGCTAGTATTTAAATGACCTTCAGAGCTAGTGTTTACTGACCTTCAGAATATCCGGGGCACAGTCCCCTGGGTGTCGTAGTCTCTAGGACGGCTGTCAGGAAGTATCACAAACTGAACTTACAACAGAAACGTATTAGTTCCTGGTCCTGGAGGCTAGCAGTCAGATCAGGGGTCGCCAGAGCTGGAGCCTTCTGAGGGCAAGTCTGTTCCATGCCTCCGCCCTAGCTCCTGGAGGCCTCAGGTGTCCCTTTGGCTGTACATGGTGTCCTAGTGTCTTTATGTCATCTCCCCTCTGTGCATGTCTGTTTCAAATCTCCTCTGTTTCACAAGGATGTGTCATGATGGATTGTCCCCAGCCTAATGACCTCATCTCAGTGCAATCATCTGCAAAGATCCTACTTCCAAATAGGGGCACCTTCAGGAGTCCTGGGTGTTGGGACTGAAGCATCCTCTGTGGGAGACACAGGTCAGCCCTGGCAAGTGGGCGCCGGCGAGCGGCTCGCTCGCTCTGGGGGCTTGGGGAAGGCTCCGCACGCTCGTCCACGGCCTTGCTCTAAGGCTCTTCCCCAAGGGACCTGGCCTCCATTCTTGCGGAGGGACTCTCGGTCCCACAACGGCTCTGGGCTGCAAAGGCTGGAGGAGCCACAGGACTTGTGAAGGATACTGGTGGCCCCCCACCAGGGCATTTCTGAACACCTGAGTGATGGGCTCACCCAAAAAAGTTGCAGGACAGCATTGGTAGAAGCCTGGGGAGGATGTCTGAGGGTGGAGTTGAGGGATGTTGGACCCCAGGGTGGCCAAGAAGGGTGCACATAATAGGTCCTCTCCAACACTGAAGCCTCCCTGAGCCCGGGAAACCCCTCCCTGCTATAACACTAGGCTTCCCACACCTAAGGTGCATGAGAAGCACCTGGGAATGTTCTAGAATTCAGACTTCCCTTCATGAAACCTGGGAGGGAGCATGTCTACTGAGACCCCAGGGGTGGGATGCTGCTAACTCGGGACCCCCTTGAGTAGCGAGTTTGTCATGTTTGGGAGGCAGAGGGTGGGGCTCTGGCATTGTGACTGCATGAACTCTTGGTCACCTCCAAGCCTGGGGCTTGGTTACCCACTTGCAAGATGGTCACAGTGCTAGGCCAGCACATCCCTCCTGAATCCTGATGATGTCAGTCTTCTGAGCTTAGCACCTCATCTTCTGTGGTCCAGCACCCCCAACTCACCCGCGGTCTTCCCTGGAATCCTGCCGGTGCAACTCTGCAGTCCTCTGGGAGTGCAGGCTGTCTCCCCTAGCAAACCCCCGTCTCCGTCTGGGCCATGAGTGGTCTCACCCTCATGCACCTGGAAGGGATGCAGGGATGTGGAAACAGCCCCATCCTGCGTCTGCATCCCGGGTGAGCTGTGGGGCTGTCAATGGTCAACGGAAGCGTTTATGGAGGGAGAGACGCACGGCCTCAGATGGGGTGGAGGGATCATCTCTGCTGGGGAAGAAGGGTCAAGGTGTTCGCTTGGGGTCCAAAATTCTCAGCCCCATGTTTCTGCCCAAACATCCCAATCCCAAGTCTCAGAGTTTAACTCTTTGCTTTCCAATTCCAAGACCTTGGTGGAAGGAAGCTGGAAGTGATGGATGTCTAATTGATGCTGCACTTCCAGAAAGGGGGTCCCAGCCTGAGCCCAGCTTCGCTGCCCTGCAACTCTGGGGGCTTAGCTGGGAAAGCCGTTCCCATTGTCCCGTCCTCAGGGAGGCATCCTCAGACCTGTTTCTTCTCTCCTGCTTGAACGTTGCGTAGCTCTCGGAAGCAGCCAGCTGATCCTGACCTTTATCACACGACTGTCACCATGGAAATGAGATGCTCTGCCACTCATCCGCCTCAGGTGTCTTACCTCACACTTCAGTCCACACCACCTCCTGCTGGCTTGGGACCCGAGCCTGTGTCCCCAGCTGGGAGCCACGCCCGAGGGGACAACCTTGCGGTCTATTAACAGGGTCACTGCTGGTAGCAGTTTCTGTATCAATCAGAGTTTCTGCAGGAAACAGGCCTGTCACTCCCTTCCGGGTAATTCCGGGGAAGTTAGATGGAGACAGTGCTGACCTCTCCTTGGGGCCAGGGAACTCCTCAGCCTGAGGAGAGGACAGGGTCAGTTTGGGGAGCTAGAAAAGACTGCCAGGTGCAGAGGGCTGCCCGCTGGAGCACTGAGGGGACCGAGGAGAACAGCCAGTCTGCCGTGACCTTGCCAGCAGGGACCCAGGACAGAAAACCCAAGCTCACTTCCTCCTGAGGCCACACATCCTGCTGGTGCCACCCACAACAGCAGCCAGAAGCCAGAGGACATGAGGGCCAGAGACACAGCCAAGTCAGCCACTCCCAGGGGCTCTGACTGCTGACAGGGATGGGCAGACAGAGGACACCCTGCTGTCCCAGTTCAGACACTCAGCCCTGAAAAGAATCAGCGTGGCTCTGGCGATTCTGGCGATGGGAGAGGACAGGTCAGGCCGAACCACGTGCAGTGGGAGTAGGGAAGGGGGCCTGACCACAGATGGAGGGCTGTACCAAGAAAGCAGGAAGGTGCGCTGGGCTCGCAGAGCAAGGGGTTCCCGCCTCGGAGCCCTGGCAGGAGAGGACCGCGGGTCAGGCCAGGCTCCCTGTCCTGGGTCCGACCTCTGTGTTTTTCAGTAAGAGGAGTGAAGCCCAGAGGAGCCCCAGTCCTTGCGCACGGGGACCCCGCTTGCTAGGGCATCTTTGCTCAAGTCGTTTCCTCCCCACCAGTTGGTCATTTTTTAAACACAGGGTGTGTAAGGTGATTGTGTGGTCACGTGTTAGTGCTGTCTCCTAGGAGCCCTGGAGTCACTGCTGCAAGTCTGAGAGGCAGTCTGGGAGCGACACAGGCCCCGCCAGCCACGCCGCCCTCACAGGAGGGAGAAGTCAGACACACAGAGGACGAGCATCTGTGTCTCCCTCTTTAACTGAAAAGAGCATCAGCTTTTAACCGTATTTCTTCCAGACTTTCTTTGATGAACTAGAACATCACAGACAGGTTGAAAGCCCCTTTGTACCCTCCGGCTCTGGTGCCCCTCTCTGCACCTCCCCAGGCTCGGCCATATTTGGCAGCCAGCGCGCCCCCTTCCGGTCTGCGTGGCTGCAGTTTCTCGCACGTGGGTGCAGCTCTAAGAGCATGTGGCATTGCTCGACTTACTTTGGAAATCTGTGTCATAAACGACATCATTCTCTAAGAACGATTCTTAGCTTTCCTCGTTGAACTTTGTTTTCAATATTTATCCATTATTATTATTGCTTATTAATTTCATTATTCTTTCATTTTCATCTTCTATGAGGCATTCAGTTTATTTATTTACTTATTTCCGTGTTTTCCCCTTTCCCGTTGATGAACTTTTATGAACATTTATATTGCTTCCTCCTCCTTTTCGCTTCTTCCTTCTCCATTCTGTCTCTCCCTTCCTTCCTTCTCTCTTCTTTCATTTCCTTCTTTCCTTCCTACCTTCGTTCCTTTTCCTTCCTTTTTTTAAGCATCCTCCTTTCTTCCCTCCTCCCTTAAAGCGACCGCAGACAACGCTGCAAGGCTCCGCCATCTCTGTTTCTGCCCAAGCACGAGGGCTTCCCTGCTGTGAGCGCCAGGCCCAGGCTCAGCGGGACCGCTGGGCTCTCAGTCTGTGTAGCTTCAGCTTCACTAGATGTCACCACTTGTTCTCCAAAGTGTCGCACACTCTGTCTCCACGCCTGAGAGGAACGAGG